CACTCAATTTTTTTACCCGAGATAGAAAGTTACGCTCGTTAAAATAGAATGCTCAATTATATTTATTTGAGTGCGAACATTAATAATTATGAATATCGATGAATTTCTATCTCTTATGCACGTACCTTTACTTTATGTGCATTTAAATTTATCACGTCATAATTAATCGATAATTAGATCCAAAAAAATTTGATCTACTCAATACAAATCATCAATATCATACGAAGATTAATAAAAAAAATTCTCAATGATGACTTTGTAGAAAATACAATCAAATTTTTTTTCTTAGAGCACATGTATCAGCCCCACAACACACGTACCATTCAAGTCGGGAGTGCGGTTCGAAAGCAATACCTCAAGGACTTACCTTCCGGATCCTTGCTAATGCCGATATGCCCCATAGAAACTAGAAAATACAATCCATAATATATGTATCACTAAACATTGTTATTTGGTGCGACCGAGCGTGTGCACAAAATAATGCACAACACTTTAGGTTTAGAAATAATGTCAAGTGGGCACCATATTTTAAAATTTATAAAACCACTAAACACTTATACTATGGAGTATGAAGTGAGCATGGATCGTCCCAAGAGATCTAAACAATTATAGGTTTTCCAGAATTGAATTCTACTTTAGTGCTTATGTGATTGCCAAAAGGGTTTTGTTTGTGATTAAAACTAATTTTAAACTAAATGATTGCAATAAAGAAATAGAGTTTAAGAGATTGGAAAAAGACTTAGGGTGTAGGATTCACCACTAAGCATATTCCCTAACTCACTCACTTTCAACTAATTGGGGAAATAATACTATGTAATCTATATGTGGCTAACAAGTGCAATGAAAAGTGTAAACCATCAATTTCAAGCATAAATCAACTACCTAATGACAATTAAACTAAGTGTAGTGCAATTCACCCATTCAAAGCATGATTTATCAATCCAAGTTACAAATTTAACACACATTAATCTAGAAGATAATGCAATTGTGACAAAAAGTATGGAATTCAAACATAAGTATGGATGGTCTACTTACTTAATAATTGAATTGCAATTACATTAATTAAACTTAAATTAAACTAATTAAACATGAATTTAAAACTAATTAGACAACAATTTAACCTAAACATGTAGTACCATCCATCAAATGGAAGCACTTTTCATCAATTTGAAACACAATTACAACTAAGCAATACCATGCATAGCCATCACAAGAATCAATTAACAAAGAATTCATGTGTAAAATTTGTTTATCAATCAACCACACATAAGACAATATGAGATTAATACAGATAATCAATTGGAAGAATTTAATTCATAATATTCAAGACTATACACTAATTATATAAATTAATCCCCAAAAAGTATGAAAAGAGAGAGAGAATAGGTTACATGCTTAGGGTTTATCCAACCCTAAGTAGAAGAATCAGCTACTCATGGTTGATGGAGTCGAAGACAGGACAATCCCCATCATCTGCTTCATCTTCTCTGAACTTTTCTTCCAAACCCTAGCCTGTTCTTCCTTTTTCCCTTTATTCGCGTGTTTTTCCAGAGAGAAAATACGATATTACGATACAGAAAAATAAATAATAAAAATCAAACTTTTTTTTTTTTTTCAAATAATAAATCACTAAACTAATAAATACTAACCCTAAAAACAATGGGCCTCACTGGGCTTAAGTAATAAACCTATTAAAGCCCACTAGGTTACAAAATAAGCCCAAACATTAAAATAAAAATATGCAATGTTGCCAAATCCTGGGGGATTGATCCCCCACCCTGGGGGATCGATCCCCCAGAGTTGGAAAATTCCTTTAAGCCTTATTCAGCTCCATTTTTGCCCCGGGCTATTTGGTTTGCTTCTCCATCTTTGGGAACATCATCAAAGGCCTGAGATTGACCGCTTTGTGCCATTTTCTGAAAATCTTTGCTTAACTCCAAAAAGGCTTAATTGGACCGTTCTTAGCTCATTTTAACTTTATTGCCCTGAAATACACATAAACATAAATTAGGACTAAAACATAAACTTAAGATAGATGCAAAGACTGAAATACCCTAACTTAGGTGCTGAAATGTGCAACATTTAAGCACTTATCATTATTGTTTGTTGTTATTAAAATTATAGCAACAACAAAGATTTATAAACATCATTTCGCCTTTTTGTTTTCACTCCAAAGAGCAAAATCATGATTATACTTCTTACAATAACAAAAACAAGAAAACTTCATGTTAAAGAACACATTCGTTAACCACAAACCTCAAAAAATCCATGTCTCGTGTCCTTGCCCATATGTTGGTGGCAAGCCTACAAATTGATAATACACTAATCATCTAAAGAATATGCATATATTGGTATCTTCTGAGAACTCTTCAGCACACATTTAAAAATGGATAATGCTTGGGTCCTCCATCTAGGAGGACAGGGGCGGAAGCTAGGATTCCTGCCGCGGGGGGGGGGGGGGGGGGGGGGGTGGGGGAGATTATCTACATACCTTCGATCGTTCAACGTTGGTTTGTTGCAAATGATGGAGATAACAAAGTTGAGTCACGAGTGATGCGTTTTCAAATTTTTAACTTTTCAAAGAGATGGGAAATTGGGAATTAGGGGCGGAACTCTGATCAGGAATCACGAATAGTTAATTAGTTATGTCTTGACTCTTCTTGACTAATTGGTCTGCTGGGCTGTAACTTTGGTTAATTGGAAACAAAACTAATTCGCAAAGCTATGTTTGGACAGTCATATATAAAGGCATTTATTGGTTATAGGGTTTTCAATTCAATCATATTTTCTAATTCAAGAAAAAACAAAAAGGAGTATATTTCTAAATTATAAATTGTTTTATTTTTTTTATCCTATTTATTTCAAATCCTAATTTTAGATCTTTAGTAATAATTATAACATTTGAAAAGTTTTTTTTCTTGTTGCATTAAAAAAAAAAAAATTTACACATTGGATTATTGGAAAGAAAGATGAACACTGCTCCTTGTTTGGATTACATAATTCTATTTGTTGGTTTAATTACGAAATTGGACTGACTTGCAATGTTACATTTTTTTTATGGTATTATTAATTGATTGCTAAATAAAATTGGTTTGGTGGGTCGTAGGTTTGATTAATTGGTTTGTTGGGCCGTAGCTTGGGTTAAATGGTAATTGGATTGCTAGGTTGTAGCTTTGATTAATTGGTTTGCCGGGCTAGGTCATTCATCATTTATATTTTATTATGGATTGGGCTGTTTGGGCTAGGCTGGCTGATATAAAGTAGTAGTACAAATTTTTTTTTTTTTTTGGACTTGAGCTATAGCCTAGGTTAGTCCACAGAATGCTCCGCCCCTGTCAAAGGATGAACTCCATTTAATGTGGTCCAATGTTATCGGAACATTTGTCTAAATAAAAATAAATAAAAAAATTAAAGATGGGCATTATCCATTTTTCACGGGTTAAACAGATTTATTTATTTATTATTATTTTTTTTATTTTTGCAACATGATCTGTATTATTCTCTCTCGTCACGACAAAGCAAATCTCTATCCATCTCCATATCCAACATCCATTTGAAACCGTAGTCTTCATCCTGCATTGCTTTCCGCCGCCACCTTCCTCCACTGCTTGTGGTTGCTTTAATTTCAAAACCCTAAGTGTGAGTCTCTAAAACCCTAAGCATATAGTCTTAAATAAGTGTAAAATCTTTATGATTTCACTTAGAACTCCATAATATAAAACTATATATATATATATATTTCGATGGAGGTTGGATATGGAGATTTGTATTGTTGTGAGAACAAGAGAAGATGAAGAGAGAGAATTGCTTAAACAAATGTTGCATTGACATTGGATCACATCAAATGGAGGATGAACTTCATCGTCCTAAATAGAGGACTTGAGCATTGTCCTTTAGAAATTGGCATTGGATCAATAAATATGAAATGCACTTAAAAAAAAAAAAAATGCAATGCACAAAATTAAACAAAAACTTTAACAATGCAATACAACAATGTATCATAAAATTTATAAATTTGTATTTTATGAATTTAACAAGTTTCTTACACGTATAAATAAAAAAAATTGTTTTTCAATCAAATTACTTGGTTCAATTTTCTAATCACTCAGTTATAAAAAGGGCTTATTTTTATAGAAATGTCTTTTGTAGTTCTCTGAAAATAGGTTTTTATTTTATGAATTCTTGATAAATATTTTATAAATGACAAACCAAGCCTGAAATATCTGATTTAATCAGTTATAAAGAAAATGAATCAAGTAAAGCTTTTGTACAAATAATTTGATTCTCAATTATTTAAAAACAAAAAATCATTTTATGGGTGATAAACCAAGCATATCCTAAGTTTTTGTACCATTTTTCTAATATTTTGTCACAGAATCAAATAAAGTAGACGTGTTTTTCATGCACTAATGGATACATTACTTCAAATTATATATATATATATATATATATATAAGAAAATTTGAATCGAATGGTACTAAGCAGGGGTGACCACGGATCGATGAAAATTTAATCCAATCCGAACCATTACTTTACGGAATAAATCGGATCATATTAAGCTCTTTTACGAGTTGAATCGGATTGATTATAATAAGAATTGTGATTTTTTAATTATGACCTAATAGATAAATTTTCAAAAGTCAATACAAAAAAGTTGATATATGATTAAAACTTAGTAAAAATTTAAATTAAAAAAAATAAATAAATAATAATTAATATGTATAATATATATACTATAAATTTGAACGGATCAATTTTAAGATCCAATCCGTTAACCAATTTGTAAAATAGGAATTCTTTTATTTATCATGGGATAGAACGTCTTACTTGAACTTTCCAAAAAAAAGAATAACACAAGTAATAAATACGAAAAATAAAAAACTAACGCGTGTTTGATGAACAACAAAAATGGGGGGTTTTTGATTAATAAACGAAGAATAATCAATAAACCGGGTCCAAACACCAAAACCGTGTTTGTGTGTGTGTGTTCATTGTTTGACCCTTTCACTAGTCGTCGTTCATGATCAGTCTCGTCTACTCTTCTCGAAAGACGGAAGGTTTTGCTGACTGCCCTGGATAGAAAAATTTGGTGGGGTTACTTTTCTTTGTTTACGTTATTATGTATCAATTTGCATCTTGAGGTCAACGAAGGCACATTGATACTATTCAACAACTACAAAGCTACGAACCAAACCCTTTCGAGTCCATAAATTGATCACAAACACAAACCCTCGTAATCTCATCTCCTCCTCTCTCTGCGAGGTCGTTGACTTTTGCTTTTTCAGTAAAATTGTAGATTTGAAATCGTTCATCTGATGAGTTCTAACGTTCCGTCCTCGAGCACCGGAGGTCCTGGATCGGCCGATTCCTCAGCGCCCAGAAGAATTTCCAAACGACCCAAGTGTATATTTCTAATCTAAATTTAGTTTTTCTTTTCCCCTTCAATTCTTTCGCGGGTTTCGAGTCAAATTCTTGAGTATCAACACTGTTTTTGTACATATTTTCAACGGATACACAATATTGAAGATTTTTTGTTTTTGTTTTTTGGCGTGGGGTTTGGTCTGATTCACAAGTATTTAGAAATACAGTAAGTTATTTGCACTTCATGGGTTCTGTTAATTTCTTCTGATGTTTACAGTGCATAAAGAAAAAAATGAAGCGTATTAGCTCTACTTTGTCTAATTTTTGGTTCCTATGTATTAGTTTTGCACATTCTATGCTTAGATGGTTTTGGATTTTACATATATATTACTAATTGTATGTTTTGACAAATTTTCCCAAGTCTTTGTTTGGTATTTCGTTCTTTATTACTTTAGTCATGCAGGATTTGATATTTGTAATATGATCTAACTCATGTTTGTGTTTAATTCAAGTTGGAAAAGCTGCTCGAGTAAACTCGAGAAATACGGGCAATTTTAGTTGTTTTGGAACAATTGTTTCTTTCTTAAAAATCCTAATGTAGTTAGGATAGGAGTTCGACAAATTGAAGGATCGTTCGAATCTCGCTGGACTTGATTTTTTGAACCATGTGACATAGTAGTTTCCAAAAAAGTTTTTTAACCATAACCCCCCTTTCAGTCTCTAAGGTTTGTAAAAAAGACCCTATACTATCAAAATATTTGTTCAAGGATAATCCAAGCATGCACAGAGGACATACAACACCGTGAGGTATACAAGAGCAGAGTGTGCATCCTATCAATTTAGTTGCTAAATATTGTTTCTTTCATTCATCCTCTATGCATGTAAAGTGCATTTTGAGTATTGATGGTCAATAATGCAAGAGCTGTAAGGATTTTAACACCACAGCAATTTCCACACAACAATCAAGGGTTGGATGTTGCTAGTCATGGAGATCAAAGCATGGATGGAAGAGTAGATTGTAGAAAAAGGGGGACTGGCATTAGCAGAGTCTGAGGAGAATGTTTGGTGTGAGTCTAGATAAGAGGTTACTGGGGGATGCTTTGGTTAGAGTCTGCTAATTTAGGTTGTAACATTTCGGCATTTGATCTGCCTGGACTGCGTCTCATGGTTTTACCCCTACCGGATTCTCTATATAAAAATCGGTGGTCATGTGCATGGATGTTTTGTGCTTTATATTTTCACTCTGCCTATTGTTACATGCTTAATTGATATTTGAAATTTGAAATTCAGTTATAGTTAGTTTGATTTTAAATTTTTGTTAAAAGTATTTAAATAGATTTCAAGACCTATCCACCCCACCCCCTTTAGGTGTAGTTTGGGCCTTTGTGTACTCTAACAATTAGAGCATAGGGTTATGGTCACTTCCAACCTCACACTGTTTTTCAGCCTTGCTTCAATTAACAAACATAATGATACAAGTTGCCTATCTCTTTCAAATTGCCGCCAGATGAAGTTAGTACAATTAAAGAACACAGAAGGTCTAAATAGACTACCAGAAATGAATCGCAGGCCCACATCCTTCACTGCAAATGATTTGTAATTCAAGAATAAATTTACGCAAATCAATTTCCAAAGAGGCTATCTCAATTTCCCATCTCTAGTACGGAGTCTTTTTATTTTTCGTAAAAAAGTTTTGGTTCGGATTAGGCTGAGTATTAATTCCAATGCCCGAGAAAATCTCTCAGAATGGCACTGCATTTCAAGTAAAATGGATGGTTTTTGCAGGTGGCTGTGTTCTCGGCCATCAAACGGACTAGCAGTAACCTTGATTTTACTCTAAGACGACTATAGTATAATGGATAATGACCAATGCTAGACACAGAATTTAATTAAACAATGCTAAGATATACTACTGTTAAAAGATTACTAAATGAAAGTATTACATGAGGGTTTTTCTTCTCTATTTAGCTTTATGTTTAATATTATGGGTTTATTTTCAATATTCTTTTAGAAGTTTTTTGAAAATTTTGGCAGTTGTGGGGCTGTATACAAATTTTTTTTTTTATACATTTGTTAGAGTTTAGAACTATGAGGATATCTGGTTAAAAAATTGGATATTATATAGGGTATTAGCTGCTGTCTACCTCTTTTTTGCGTCACTATGTATGTACCCGATTTCAACACTGGTTCTCATGGTGTTCCTTTGGTTGTGGACACCACTCGTGTTGCATATCGTGATATTGGTATATACCTTTAAAGTGTGGAAAGGTAAATTTTATTAAAAAAAGTAAAATTTATAAATCAACTATCTGACTAGCCATTCTTTACATGACAGAATGTTGGGTGGCTAAGAAACTACATATTCATCAAATGGGTGTTGAAATGTGAGTGTTGATATGAATGTGTGAGAAGACAGAAATGATGAAATAGATATGTATGTAAAATGGTTGAAGTAGCATCCATTAGAGATGAAATGTGAAAAGCCTGATTAAGATGGTTTGAATATGTCCAGAGGGAAGATAACTGCATCATTTTGGAAAAATGGCCTGGTCTTTATGGAGGGTAATGTTGGGAGGTTATGGCTTTAGATAGAATAGAATAACGAAACAATATTAATGTACCCGTCCCCAAATGGTTGGAATAAGGCTTCGTTGAGTTGAATATTGAGTCAACATTCAAAGAATTGATCAAATAGAGATATCTAAGCCGGTTTATAATGTTCTTTTTGGTGGGTAATTGTTCTTTGAATGCATCGATAATAAGTAACTCCTAATGTGTTTATTTGATCTGGCCAATATGCTCTTTTAATCATTTTATGACCGACACATATTTGCCAAATTAGAAATATTTATAGTTAAAAATATTGATAAATTTTAGTTAGTTTATGGGATCTTTTCTGTTTTTCCTGCATGGGTTTTTCTTTACTTATATATTACAATATCCTCCACCAATTTTTCTGTAGCACTTAATTGAATTCAAGTGGATTTGAAGCAAATGCAATTGTCAGTTTTAGCCTTGCACACTTATTTTATGCATTAGACTTTCTTTATCCCTCACATCTCATCAAAAAGCGTGAAGTTTTCAATTTTTGTTGACTTTAACTTGATTTTTAACGAACTAATGAATAAAACTCCCTTTTTTGTCTCTCAGATTCGAAGTTCACTCAACAAGAACTTCCAGCTTGCAAGCCAATTCTTACACCAAAATGGGTAAGTACTGTTTCATTTCTTCTGCAATTTTATAATACCTACTTGGTGATTAATCAACGCTGTAGGAATCCTCTTTTTCTGATATGTCTTTCTCTTTATCTGCAGGTGATTTCAGCATTTATGCTTGTTAGCATAGTCTTCATTCCCATTGGAGTTGTTTCCTTGTTTGCTTCTCGGGATGTATGCTCAATACCAACCAAACTCTTTTGCATTTTTTTTTTCTTTTATTCCTTGTGTCGTTGAGACTTGACCACCACGGATTCTCTTTCTCTCCATCAGGTTGTTGAAGTCATTGACAGGTATGAAACTGACTGTATACCAGCAGCCAATAGAACTGATAAGGTCAAATACATACAAAGCTCTGAAGATAAAACATGCAACAGAACACTGAAAGTAAGCTTCCTGTCATCAGTATTTGTTCTTCTTCTTATTGTTATTATCATTTGGTTTCTAATCTAGGTACAAGAGCTAGAACATAATCCTTGAGGTTATACTAAAATTGAACTTATCAATTTTTGAATCATATCAGGTGCCAAAGCATATGAAACAGCCTATATACGTGTATTATCAGATTGACAACTTCTACCAGAATCATCGCAGGTAATTTATAACTTGCCTTTTTCCTCTACTTATTTGTAATTTGATCATGCAAGAAAATATCTAATAAAAATTATAGATAATTAATTTTGTGTGTCATATGTGTTGCTTTTATCATTCATTAGATCTTTAGTATCACGCGAATCAATCTCATAACAATTTTGTCAAACCATAAATTAACGCAAGGATAGGAAAGAATATACTATTTTTTTACACACTAAATTAAAGCAAAGAAAGGAAAGAACACACTAATTTTTTACATCAAAAATCTCAGCGAGAAAAAACACGGGACTGTAGTCCAGAGCAAAGCAATTCACTATTTTGAAAAAAAAATTACACCGACTTTGACTTAGACGTGCTCAGATTCACTTTGCCGAGACTTAATTACTGACAGTCTCATACTGACTCCTTTTTCCGTACTCAAACAAACTCGAGTCCAGTTTCTGCAGACCTCAGACTCACTCCTACAGCCTTGAAAACAAGCCACTGCAATGGAATATGATTGCTCCGATACAAAGTTCTACATATAGAAGGATTGGGACAACAGGTACAATAGCATTCTGTCTAAAAACTAAAGTAAAACAGAATCATGTTGTATTGGTTAAGGAAACATAGAAATAAAGGAGGGATGGTAATTTAGAAGATGAGATGGGGCTAGAAGAAAAAGGATTAGAAAACAGAAGAAAGGGATGAGTAATTGATGAAAGATGAGGCTATACAGACTGAAGGGGAAGAGAAAGCTGGAATAAGGGAGAGGGGAACAACAAAGAGAATTCTGAAATCACATTATAACTCAATAATCAAAGTCTAAATTGTTTGTTTACATAAGAGCCTTTTATATATGCAAAATTAGAAACAAACTAGATACAGTAATAACCAAAAAATTAAACGTTACCAAAACAATAAAAATAAATAAAAACCCAACCCTAATTCATCAAATCCCTAATTTTATCTATTTTTTCCCATTCTGAAATCACATTATAACTCAACAATCAAAGTCTAAATTGTTTGTTTACATAAGAGCCTTTTGTATATGCAAAATTAGAAACAAACCTTAAAATAATAAAAATACAGTAATAACCAAAAAATTATACATTACCAAAACAATAAAAATAAATAAAAACCCAACCCTAATTCATCGATTCCCTAATGTTATCTATCTTTTCCCATTCCTTACAAGTAAAGGTGAATCTTGAGTGGCTCATGCGTGCGAGTTATGACACAATCTGTATCATTTGTCCTTTATTTAATTTATCTTGATATCTTTGAAGTGAAGTAATATGACTATTTATTTAGCATTTTTGAAGAATGGACTGTCTGTATGCCCACCTCATTCATGTCTGTGCAGTCACTCCATGCCTTGCATAAGTTGTGGAAGCATACATTTATAAGCTTCATAATTGTATGTACTTTGCCAATTGCATTATTTTGCTTCATTTCCTTTAGTTTATTTGATCTGTTTTATATAAAAGAAAAGTAAAATAAAAAACAGTTTATAGAAAAAGCCCTCGGGTCAGACTATACATACAATGGAAAAAATTAAAGAAATAAAACTTCCATTATTATACTAGTTGCAGCTTGTGATACAAGTTCTACATTTTTTAAACGTAATAATGTAACCTTTCATGTTTGTATTGGGATGTCAGCCTTAATGTGTTACGTTGTTCTCACGGTCTATGAATGCTAAAAATATGATAGAATAGCATTGCTACAATTTTGGTTCGTGTCTCTCATCCAGAAGCTTACTTGATCTTCGATTGCCTGAACAAATGAAGCCTTTCTGGTTCAATGCTGAAACAATTGGAAATGTTTTTCTCTGTGAATTTAATTATTTAGGAACTGAAAATAATGGTTATTTTTGGCATAACATGATTATGGTTTTTTAAGGTATGTGAAGAGCCGAAGTGATGAGCAGTTGCGAAAAAACAGCAGTCAAACAGACGTAAGCGATTGCAAACCAGAAGATTACGCCAATGGAATGCCAATTGTGCCTTGTGGTCTTATAGCCTGGAGTTTGTTTAATGATACTTATAGCTTCTCCCGAAGCAGCCAGCAGTTGGAAATAAAAAAGAAGGGCATTTCATGGAAGAGTGACAGAGATCACAAGTTTGGGAAAGATGTCTACCCTAAAAACTTTCAGAATGGAACTATTATAGGTGGTGCAAGTCTCAATACATCCATACCGGTAAGCCTTTACCCGCAGTTGATATTTATTTATATCAAAAACCCCAAGCTCTGATCAAGTTTCCAAGTATTGTCGTTTATATGCACAACAGTTGAGGCTTTGGTCATATGTTATCGTTATATCATTCTTTTATTTATTTATTTTTCATCTTCTTGTTTTATTCTTGATATATAATGAGTCATCTGAACATTTTTATTGTTCTAAATGCATTAATATATGTTGGGCAGTTCTTGTTTGAAAAATAACAGGGTAATAGTTGGTATTATATTGTCTTATGTTCTTACATGATAATGTGTTTTGTTGACAATATCTGCAAGCCACTCAACCTTCAGGGTTTTTTTAAGTAGTGTCTCAAGATGTCATGTTTTTCCCTGCAGAAACAGATAGAAGTAAATAGGTAATAAGTAATTACGATATTGTTCTTGTTTTGGATTAACCTTCTCCGTTTCAAAATTCTATCATGATGCTGAAAAAAGTCTAAGCTGGAAATGCAACTCTTGGATTTTTACTTTTACTGCTTTTTTCTGTCCAACCTTTAAAATGGTCTTGTCCTACTTCTCCCATGAACATGCAGTACCTATTTCGACTTGGAGTGACATGCTGCCATACTGTATTATTTCCTGCACTATTTTCTAGAAAGTTTGGAATGGGTCATTATGAATCATTTTAATGGCCTTTAGAGTCATTCTTAACTGAAGTTGTATTGGTGAGGCTAGCGCTAATCTGTCTAAATGTGTTTTGTGTAACAGTTGAGTGAGCAGGAGGATCTAATTGTTTGGATGCGCACTGCAGCTCTTCCAACTTTTAGAAAATTGTATGGGAAGATAGAACAGGATCTTCAGGCCAATGATGTCTTACATGTGACAGTAGGGAACAATTACAACACATATAGTTTCAGTGGCAAGAAAAAGCTCGTGCTTTCTACCACCAGTTGGCTTGGCGGGAAGAATGACTTTATGGGTATCGCATATCTCACTGTTGGCGGGTTGTGCTTCTCTTTGGCTTTGGCTTTTACGATAGTATATCTAGTTAAGCCAAGGTAAATTTTCTTATCCTGATCCACCCTGCCTGTCATATAATGCTGATTTTGGTAGGGTCTAGCTATTAAATGGGTGCTAAACCCGTGCTTCCCATTTTCTAAGTACACTTCTGCGGTTCTTGTTATCTTATACCATACCCATCCAGTGGGTGGGCAACCATATGGATTCGAACTCAGTGCCTTGAATTAGGCTCTGCAAAATATCCATTTTTTGACAGCAGTAGTGTTTCCAACTGTTTAGAGTCACTCGGTTTCTTATAAGGTGATCAGCCAGCACATAACGTACCGAGTTGAAATTTATGTGGAATCATGAGAGAGCTTATCTTGTGCTTTTGAGGGGGACACCTCTTTTATTCTTTATCTTTTGCATGTGTCACCTTTTACATTATATTTCTTTTGATGAGCAGCACTACTAATAAGCAGATTTTCTTGCTTTTCTAAGACACAAACAGCATAGTTAAATTTAACAAAATATATTGTTTAATAACACATGTAGAAATGATAATTTGAGCTTGCAATTAATGTACATGGTTCACAGCATATTTTCAACTATGTTTAGAGCCAGATATCGGCTGTTGTGGTTGTCTTGGCACGACGATGTCACGGAATAGATGACTGGCTTTAATCTACTCTGATTTCATTTGGATTCGCATGTTCCCAAACTCGCCTAGTTTTAGGATAATGTGATAAGGTTGCCCAGTTTGTCCACACAAGGCCTCTGGCTAGACCCAATTCATCCTGCATTGTTGCACCCGAGAAAGGGTGATGTTGGACTTGCAGAAACTTAAATTTATTATCATCGATTTATTATTATTATTTTAATTTTTTTTATGCACTCCATCTCTCTCTCTTACAGGCAACTCGGAGATCCATCTTACTTGTCATGGAACCGGAACACAGGTGGCAATTAAGCATGGTCATGGAACTTCTTCAAGTGGCTTGGCCTGAATATTTTCCTTCACGGTGGTGGATGTAATTTTTTTTGTGTATTACGCTTTTTAAAATTATGGTATATATAACCCTAGTTCGAAGTATTTTAGCAGTTTGGAATTTGAATGTTGTGGCAAGGATGAAAGGAACTCCTAATGTATAATTTCAGGAATGGTTTCTAATACAATTATTGGTTAGTTTAATTATGCAATGACTTACCTTTTTATTTTTCTCTCTCTCTCTACTTCGCACCATAGACGACTATCTTACACCATAGCCTTCTGTCGTTGCGAAACCCTATATATTTGTGTGTATCTTCGCATACACACACCTCTCTCTCTAAATTTAATTTTTTTCAGTTTCATACTAAAATCCCATATTACTTTGTTGTTGAACTGCAAAGAAAATTAAGTCTCATCTCCATAAACTCAAAGATACATGTATTGGTTTTCAAATAAAAGTTCCCAAGAAAAAGTTACTATTAGGTAGCTCCAATTAACAGTTGTTCTAAAATAGTGTACTTTATGCTCCAGACTTCTTGAAAATAATTTTCATCAAGAACTAACCAAGCAGCTCTTGTTCAAATTCCTCTATAGAATGTTTTCTTTGGAAAAATACATGCGTGCCCTCATTTCCAAGTTCCAACAAATCCGATGTTACTCATGTAGCCTCCAACAAATCCAAATATTACTCATGTAGCCTAGTTCTATTTGTAATAACAATAATAATAATAAGATAATGTATGTATCTATTGCGAATATTTTAAAAAGTGAGCTGTTGCACTAAAGAAATTGGAATGCTTTACGATTTGGTGCCTGGTATAGTGAAGACATCCAAGAATATGATATGAATTTTGTATATGCCATCAATCCAACGGTCAAAAACATTCCGATATTCCCAACTCAATTAGAAATATAAAGGTAATACATGTATTATGTAAAAATATTCACTATAATCTTATACAACTCTAGGCAACATAGGACTCTTGATAAACTTCTGCATCCAGTAGTAATGAAAAATGAAAGACAATCTCTAGCCAAGTTTGCAGGAGGTGACAATCTTCCCCACTTAGTCCAGCAAAATCCTCAGAATCTCGCAATCACCTATTGGCAAAGGTCAGCAACTTCAAACGAGCTTTGTTCTCAACTTGTTCCGAGTCCGGTCCATTTGACCAAAAACTATAATTGAATCTCTAGACGAAAGTCTGGAGATAGCTTTGCTCCCCAGCAGTTCAAAGAGAAGGATGCAGAACAGATTGTATCTGACAGATACAAATTCAGTGCTAAAGAAGGTAAAAGTGATAAATCCCATCTAACACTCTTTCTTTCTTCCTCAACAGACGAGAATCTTCAATCAGTAGAAATCTTTAGTTTTCCTCTCCTAAAATCTCATTTTGGAACAAAGGAAGGAATCCAGTCGTCTGGGTTCTCGAGGTAGATGAAAAACCAAAGAAAAAGAATGTGGACGATTGGAGTTTTATAATACTCTAAGCAAGATGTTGGAAAGATAGGCTCCCTCGGGATAGGAAGGGTCAATAGGATGATCACAAGCTGCTCCAGCCTGACGTAGAACTGTAACTTTCCTACCCGCTGTTGATGCAGCATCCTGAGCAAGATAAAATATGAATGAGAAATGCTTGTCAAAGACCATGCCAGTAACATAAAAATAAATTAATCTCCAGGTATTTATTAAATGACCAGCTGTTCTTTATGCGACGTTATATAAAACAACTATTAGAACAATTGCTCTTTATGCGACGGAATGTTGGGTAAGCTAAGAAATAGATTTTGAACATAGTGAGTGTGGCAGAAATGCAAATATTGAAATGGATGTGTGGCAAGACAAGAAATGATAGACTTTAAATAAGCAAATTTGTGTTATGGTTGAAGTAGCACCAATTGGAGATAAAATGAGAGAAAATCTATTAAGATGGTTTAGAAGACCGTTCAGAGTGCTAGTTAGGAAGAGTCACATGACCCACGTTGAGTGTAATGCTAGGGGAAGTGGAAAATCAAAATTAATGCAGATAGAGTTAGTAAGAAAGTTAATGATTACATGCGATTTGAGTAGGCTATGGCGGTCGATAAAGCGGAACCGAAAAATAGAATTCATTTCGGAAAAAAAAAAGCTTTGTTAAGTTGAGTTGAGTTGAGTATTTATTAAACAACCAATAAAAACAGATTTAAGGTTGCCGATGGTGACCAATAGATCTCATTTATACAAATTGAAACTTCTCTAAGCAAGGTAATACGTAAAATAAAAATACATATATATGGAAGAAATAGAAAGCATTCTATTAAATTGAATTTCTGTCTCTCACCATTATGAGAAAACAAAGAAAGAAAATGGAAACAAGAATCAACTACTTGCCTGAAGAATACGCAAGAGCATCCCACTTTGGGTCATAGCTCCTGAGCATGAGCAAGTCATGAGAAGACCACCCTTCTTTGTTAATCGCATGGCCAACGAGTTTAAATTTCTGTACATGCCAGATGCACTTTTCAGAACCTGAATTCGACAGTGACCCAATAAGCAGCAGAACGAGACACAAAAATTAAGAAAAGGTTGTTATTGTTGATTTAAAAACTCCTATATACATCCCACCAAGATCTAAATTTCCTCTTTCTAACATTTTGGAATGACAAAAACAGGAGTTCACCAAGCAATTAATAATATGTGAAACCCAACTGTCAACAGGGCAGCTGGATTGGCTAGAGCCTCTTGGTGACCATCAAGAGGTTTCAACATTCAAGTTTGACTCTCTCGGGCTTACTAGATACATGTGGTCTTGGGGTGGTTGCATGTATCTAAAGATAATTGTCACGCTCCCGAAGGGAGTGCCGGAGTGGGTACCCCTCAAGGAAAAAGAAGGAAGAATATGTGGGTATGGGTGCAGGAGTTGCACTCACATGAGTGTGAAAGGTGTCATACACCACATCTTAGTAAATATGAGCTCCATTAACTGGCCCCTAAATATGCAATTCCTGGCTCCACCTTTGATTCCTGGTAATAATACTAAGTAGCACGTTACACATGTCATGATACCTTTCTTCGAGGTGCTAGTTTAGGGGGATCCAGAATAACTATATCCCATGATTCATTCCTAGAAGCAGCATCCTTCATAAAATCAGACGCATCACGTCTTAAAAAAGATACTCTCTCCGGATCCAGGTTGTTCAGAATAATATTTCTGTTGGCAAGCTCCAAAGCAGGCAAAGATGTATCAACACCTGTCAAACAAGAAGAAAACTGAGCGAACTCATCTAAACTACAATATACTCGGAACCTTAGATTGTGCACTCTACTGCACAGAAACAACTCCAAGGAAGATCAGTCCTAACAGCAACCAGAAAAATATGCAGTAGCTAATTTCAGATGTGCCTTTGAGGCAACACAGTACTGAAAAAATAATATGAAACCTCGTGTAGAGACATCCCGGCGGACCTCTAATGGCTCTTTTAACCTCTCACATGGGAACATATGATATCTGCTTTTTTAAGGATTGTTCCAAGGATCTACAGACTTGCACAGATGCTCTGAATTTTTCCAAGAGTCAACTTAAAACTCAATTTTTTATGATAATAGGTAATAATCATCCAGTACATTCAACCGGGTAACAAATTATTATTATTTTTTGACAAGTGTCATCCAGGTAATAATCATCCAGTACTTTCACCAGACGTATTTCATATAGCACTTGCAATAGAATGAGATAAAGACAAGAAGTTGGTAATTGAAAAAGTAAAGGATATAGAGAGTAAAAGATGTAGAGAGAGATGATAAATTATGGTGGGTTGCTTGAGACTGATAAGAGGAATGTTAGGTCTCCAGAGATCTTTCTAGATGCTCCAAGCTTCTTGTGAAAGAAGGATGATAATATATGATGATGAATTGATGATAATGCTAATGGTTGTTGACCAAAGTATTATGTAACCAATCAAGATGGTTGCTTCAACATGAATGTGAAAGAGAGAGAGAGAGAGAAAGAAAAGTGATGCGAACAGTAGCTCCTCAGAGCACATAGCTATAAGATGGCATGGCACTATACAGTAACAGTATACACATGGCAGGAGGCTTGCAGATCCAACAATGATATAGTCGGCAAGCAAGAATGAGGAAGGTTTAGGAGCAGTAAGCTAGTCAAATTGAGTAAAGGGCAATTTTGTTCAATTTCCATTACTTTTCCACATCACAGTTCATAGGGGGTGTTAATGAAACTGATGTACTTTAGAATATATATATATATATATATATTTGATAAGATACAATTCACACCCTATATATTCTGGACAAATTTTCATTTGAATTGAATCTACCTTAGTAATTGCAAAGTTAATGGTCAGAAGTCTACTGAACTTTATGCTGGATTAATTTGCAGCCAGATTATATACACACAATAATACAGTTGAATTTACTGATTTTTTTATAACAGCCTTAATAGGTGTAATTTACAGAATCAAAGAAAAGAAGCCTAATTACCTCCTTCCAAATTTAATACAGTTCATGCAGGCATCTGTAACAGAAATCTAACAAGCCTAGAATTATGTGTAAAGTTGGAAAATTTAAACCATGCTCTTTACAATATTAGAAGAACAACCACCATTAAAAGATATTAGCAAGAAATGACAAGAAAGATGACACATACCAGTGACATTCATAGCACCACCATGTGCTGCGTTTAGAGCAAAACCGCCAGTATAACAACATACATCAAGAACTCTCTGACCATCTGATATTTTAGATATGAATTGACGATTTTCACGCTGATCAATATAAAATCCTGTCTTTTGGCCCTCCAATGAGATTGAATAAGTGACCCCATTTTCCATAACCTGGCACAGAGAAATTACAAGGTGGCATAAAATGCAATATAAACAGCTATAAGAACAAAATTTTACAATCAATTTAAACCAAAATGCTAATATATATGATATAGCTACCGACTGAAGTAGCTATTGACTTACTGAATATGCACTGATTATTTCCAAAAAAAAAAAAAAACCAATGGAACTTTTCAACATAAAAACAAGGAGCAAAAATCGCAAAAGAAAAAGAAAAACCTCCAGGGAAAATTAGTCCTTAATGGTCCAACTAACTTTGACCTAACACCCCATCTCATGACATGAGCACAATCCCAATTTAAACATAATGCAATAGCACTAATCGCACTCAATGAGTTGGTTATCTAAGATATTTGCTACAGTTGCATTAAAGGAAATTTAAAATATAAAAATTATAAATATGTTTCAGAAGAAATTATGAGAAATAATATTGGTGTACCAAGCAATGGCCCCTACTAGCACTCTTGATTATCAGGGTCCACACAAGCTAATGACACTTTTAAGTATTGGTGAATTGATTAATTCTTCCAGTTAGTTCAAATTAAGACAATGACTTGAATGATGTAACTCAATCAGACTGGCTTCTTCAAATAGGAAGACAAGAATAAGAACACACACACACACACACACACACATATATATATACATACATATATTTATATAGAAGAGAGAGAGATAGCCTTTCTGTTCAATCTTTATTACTCCAGGCCCATCCTACTCTGCACTTATAACACCTATTTATAAGCTTCATAAGACCCAAGAAAATAAGCAAAAGTCTTTTAGAAGTCGTGTTATTTAAATTGTAGCATATTATGACTAAAACTCCATTATAAAAGCTACTTACACCTAAAAAGATTCGAAAAACAGCAAAGATTGTTAATATAACAATTGCCATACCATCTTCTCAATTGCCCTGTGTCAAATAAGCATTCAGGGAATGTTAATTGCAATGATTCAGATAATCAGATCATCTCCACAAAGTCATGATCAATAGCCAGCATTACAACTGAAGATTCAATGTACAAAATGATTTCTTGTCAAGAATAGGGAGAATATATTGAATATAAACATGTAGTGATTGCAAGACCTCCAGATGTGATACCAAAATTAATGTAACCCAATGGAGTACAGTTTCTCAAAATAGAAACAAGAGAAGAAAATTAACAATTAAGAGAGGGAGAGCTCTTCTAAAACTATAATCGCCAAGTGAAAACCTTATAAAACCCTGCCTACCTAACATATTAACATATTAAGACTCAAATTTTATTCCCAAGACCACTAGAACTTCTAAGAATAAGTAATGATATATGTATACGATTTGTATGTATACACACACAAAGAAAGGGCTGCTATAGGACATTTGTATGATCTTCTCACGAGTTCGCATAAAAATAATTATATAAGGGATTGTTAATTAGGTGGAATACACTCAAGTGTGTCTCTAAGTCATGGCAAAGATCATTGCCCTACCAATGGGCCATTAGCACAATGGTATAACCTCCCTCAAAGGGCGGATGAGGGGTTCGAATCCCGTAGTTGGCAATTTCTGAAATGTGTGTGTGAGTTGTTACCTAAAAAAAAAAGACCATCACCCTAGAAGTCGTTGGTTCAATCTGTAGAAATAGGTTGGTGCAGAATATTACAGGTGGCCGACCTCTTTCATTCCCTTTTTTTTTTCTTTCTTTCTTTCTAAAAGCTAATGATGCATTATAAAAAGAGAATACAACCCATGTCAAGTGATTTATAACAGAATCAATAAATAAATAAAAAAAGACTCCAACAATGAATTCAAGTCCTCCCAGCAGTTTCCTGACGAACAGTTTTTGGTGGGATTCCAGGGCAGTATGTCTAATTCTGTGGGTTGTCGAAAGAGCATCACCCTGGTTGGCTGGTTGGTTATTCTTTCATAAAAGAATTGACATTTTCTGCAGAGTATCTAGAGGGAAAGCTTTGTGAGAGATTTGGTGTGCAAATGCACCTTCAATTTCAGATGATCAATTGCTATATAAGATTGCTGAATACGAGAGGCTGAGTTTCTCGATTCTTCAGCCAGCTTGGACTGCAGAGTTTATGTGATCTCCCCATTTTGTAGAGATGCTGGCTTCTCTCCTCCTACATTTGTCAGGAACCTTAAAGGTGATTTATTTTATTTCTTTTCCATGAACAGCAGTTCTGGATGTAATATAACCTTAACATTGGACTATTGGATCTCCAGAAAAAGGGCAAGCATAAATGTTGCGCAACACAAGTTTAGAGGATGTATAATCTCCTTGCTCATAACTCCTTCTCCAACCTCATGGTCACAGTTTTCAGCTGGTTATGTCCTTGGTTACGGATTGGTCCCTTCAAAGTCTTATAATTATTCAGAATATCCATGCAAGTGGATTTAAGGGTCAGATTTTAGAGTGCCACTCTTTTTCATCCTACAGTCAATAATAAAAAAAATTGATTAGGCAATTTTCATAAAAATTGAGGCCCTGGTAATATTGCTGATAGCAAAATAGTTTTATATGGTCTGCTGTAGCACTTGGTAATTCTGTTGACGAGATTAATGTTGCAATCTGGATTCAACACCCAACAGCAGAAAAGTTTTCAGTAAAAGGAAAATTGTTAATATGGTTTCCCTTTTGGTGACCTCGCATCAATCAGGTTAAAGACATTCCTCTTGCAGATTTTCCCAACACTTGGAACCCCGTTATTTATCGTGCTTAGATTTTATTGACCCACTTCCCTAAAACAAATGACAGATCAGAAGTGCACAAAGAATACTATAATACAATTACATGAGTAGAAGCTAAGTACAGCAGATATCAAGATTTTGTGTAATGTGTATGTAGGGATGAAAGGATTAAGATTGTATATTTATGATATTTGCTTAGTTAGCAACAGGAAATGGTACCCGAATACAGCCGTAAGTAGTAAATGTACATCAGAGGTGTCTCTCTTACTGAAAAGAGATATTAGAGGTGTCTCTAAATAATACTCTAGTTTCAGTCATTATGCTCCCTCCTCTTATGTAACAGGCTTCTCATTGTTGAACAAGATAAATAAATTTCAGTTAATTCATACAAAATGGACCCTCGTGTGAGCTTGCATTATCAGATTTTCAGACAATGCAATATAATGTCCAAAAAAAAAAAATCTAACCTTTGTCCTTTCAAGAGGAGTAGATGGATCTATATCCTTTGGATCTGATAAATCTAGTCCTTCTTCTTTTAGGATCTCAATAGATGGTCTCCAGCTTATATATCTGATCCCATCTAATCTATGAATACAAGATTTTATCTGTGACTTGTACTTCTCAACCCAAGCAGCAGATGATGCTATTACAGCTATATCTCCAAAGATATCAATAATAAGGCCTGACAACCTGTAGCAGAACTTAGGTGAACAAATGAAACAATTAACTAGCTTGCACAAAGGAAACACATTATAACAGGAAACTGTAAAATCTTAAAAAGAATAAAGGGTGGTTCTTAAAACATAAGAGTACTAACAAATGTTATCAGCCTTTTGATAAATATTAACATAACGTATGTCCAGAATTTAAATATCAAATTTGCAATACTGGATACTTTTTTATTTATCCATCTATGACAGTGACATAAGAATAATCAGTAATGAAAAATATATGAGGCCAACCGTAGTGAAAATAGAGTTTGATAATATATATATATATATATATATATATATATATATATATATATATTATTTATATATAAAAAAAGTGATGAATAATTAGAATTACTTAGTATATATGACTCCTAGGGAGCTAAGGTGAAACTGATACAGAAGAATGCGTACAAGAAGTCCTAAGATACACAATACTAATAGGCAATTAAATGGTTCAAAAACACTTAACCTAATTAAATGGTTCAAATTAACTTAATGAGTGAAAAAAATAATAAAATAAAATTAATGCAACAAAACTTAGAATTATGGATGTGTTCCTTTAGATGAGATAATGGAGGTTTTTCTTATATGATTCGATGGATGTCTCCCTTATATGAGATGGTGGATTTGTTTCTTATATAAGATTTAGGATAGGATATGTGCCTTACAATAGAATTGAAAACAAGGAGGTTAACATTTAACCAAGAAGATTAACACGATATTAAGTGCATGTTTAGCATTGTTGTAACTTATAATAAGCGTTTTTCCATTTAGAGCTGCCAAAAAAATGTTCCATGTGGAGGATCAAATAGTGTTTGCTAATGCAGTATGTAAAGCAGTTTTAATGCATATTCTCCTTCCATATATAGATTCATTCTATAAATCTTTACCTCCACTTGCACATGCAATTTAAAAAGCACCAATTTTGAGCTCTGGCTAATAGCTCTACTAGGCTAAAATCTAACCACTAAAAGGTACTTTCTTTTGTCACCAAACACAATTAAAAATGAATTTTCAAAAAATGAATTTTCAAAATAAAAGTGCCTTTAACAATTCCAACCACACTGCCAAACATACTATAAACCAGAAAAGAATGAGAAAATTTACAACATAGTTATTTGGTACATATCCATATCTATTGTACAATTTTGATAGCATATTACTTATGGTCACACTAATATTATTGACGTAAGGTAAGATTTCAAACTTGCTGATCTATGATTTTGCAGAGCTGTAAACTCACTCCCTCAATTATCATTTCAGGTAATGCTCATGTCAATTGTGGTTAGAGGACTTTTGCAATTTAGTTATCCTTCCCTCACTTAGTTGTATTTATTCCATTATTGTTGAGACGACTAAGGTTTATATGTAAATATTAGAGGTTGGATTTATTATGGTTTGAATTATGTTAAGACATGGTAATTTATGTTATATTATGGACTATGTGATCAATTATTTGGATATTGTTACAATATGACAGGGAATGATATTATATGCATTGTAATGCGGTTCCCAATTCATGCATTGTATTTGGGTACGGGGCAAGATATTCGAATTTGGGGTGTGACAATTCTAGTCCTACTTATCTTAAACCCTTGTTTTGTTCTAGAACTTCTTTCCACACTTCTACTTTAGCAATTATCCCCACTCTGGTTTCATTAAATAGAACAAGATCATCACAAATAGCATACTCTGTGAAAGCTCATCCTGAATGTGTTTGTTAGTTAATTTATAACTCAAGCAAATAAATAAATAAAAAAAATATCGGCTTAATGTTATCTATGACATAAGCCAAAAGTAATTGGAAATGGATTCGACTGTTCACCTCCCTGGCAAAAATCAAATTGATTTTCCAACACTATACCCATTCTCCCAATGTGTCATAGTATGACACTTCGATTTGATATATTGCCCAAATAAAGCTGAATAACAAAAATGAATTTGTGCAGTCCAACCTAAGTAGTCAAAACAATGGTTTCTTGAGTTGATCTAAATTTTAAGAAATTATTTGAACTATTGCACAACCAATTTTCTAGTGATGACTGAAGATAATACAATGTGATTGAAAAGTTGCAATAATTCTCGACATTCTTAAATATAAGAAAACCTAAAACATGAGCTAGAAGCCCAATATGCAACTGCTTAAGCATACAAACAAAGGTGGAAAAGGAATTTTTAAAGCAAGCAAACTAGCAAGTGATTCACATGCATTTATGCTGTGTTTATAAAAAAAAGATACTAAAAATTACAGATGTTCTCTCTCTCTCTTTTGGTACGTGTGTTTACTCTATCTCAAATTCAGTCTTAAAGATAAAAAGGATTTTTTGAGTCAAAAGTATGAACTTGACAAGGAGTGTTGATAAGTATGCAAGGAAATATACCTATCACCTTCACTATTGACAAGACGGTATGCATTTGTATTGGCAGAGGGGAGACCCAAACTCTTGCGTAGCTGGACAGCTGCATGGATTCTTGTTTCAAGAAGTTTCTCCACATTCAACGCACAAGATGGATCTCTGCACCATTTAGACCAACAATATAATTAGCCTTGTGCATCTGAAGAAACAACTGAAAACTATGAAGGACTTATTACAAAATACCCTGCTGCTTCCTCTTCTAGTTGCATAAGCCGAACACAGAACATAGAAACTGAATTGTATAAGCCCCAACCAATTGGTTTCTCCATCCCGTCAGCTACCAGCACAACATCCCCGGTCTTAGGTGGTGGCCTACCAATTATTCTATCAATTGCCCCACTATACACCATTGGACTTCCTTCCCTAAAGAGTTGTGTCTTCCCCTTTTTCAGAACAACCTTGGCAACACCTATCAAACCAGCAAGACTCACCCATCATTAATCAGCAATAAGGCCTAGAGACATACAAGTATCTTACAATTAGTCAGTAAATATGCTTTTTCCTATTCACAAATATAAAATATCACTTTACTCCAAAAAAATCATATGTTTGTATTAGATGCCGAGAGAGAGAGGGCAATGAAAACACTCCAAGAAAAGGTACATAGGGATAATCAACTAAATGATGTGAATGTCATGCTAGGTCTTCATAGATGCCAAGCTGAATGTTAAGTACTAGACCTTATCCCTTTGCTTAAAGCCTTAAACTCTCCTATCTACAACTTGAAAATTAATTTGAGTTGGTTTCGGTTTAATACAGTTAAAAATGTTGGGAAAAGAAAAAAAATTCAAGAAAATGTTGGGAAAAAAAGAAAGATCTTTCAGAATGCAAAATAACATACTACATAAAAACAATTGATAAAAAATGCTTTTAAAAAAAGGATCTTCCTTTGATAGTATGAATTCAACTAGCCTAGTGTACGAGGCTGCCGTCATTGCCGAGTCTGGGAGGGTCAAATGTCCGCAATATCTACCTCTGTATGCGAAATGGAGCAACTTTACCGTTGCGCAAAGGCCCCCCTCATCCCAAGCATATATAGAAAGACTTCAACAGTTGCTCAATTTCATGTAAATTGCAAATTGGAACAGTCCAAGAGCAGAAAATTTAATTCAAGTGAATACATCATTCGCTCATGTAATAAATACATATATACACATAGAGTATACACTTAGGTGGATATGTGTGTGTCAGTGTGTGTGTGAGAGAGAGAGACCTTTGTGGAAGTTTGAAGCGATATCGTGAAGTGTGGTGGCTGACGATGATAGAGTAATACACGGAGACTTCATCAGGCGGCCTGTGAGAGCCATCGTTTTTAGTGACCCTTTTTCACTCCAAGTCGAAGGATGGAGGTGGATTGCAGTGGAGCTGTTTGGCGGGAGGAATTAATCCATCCGCGGGCCCGGCTAGATATGTTTGGACAGAGGGTATACTGAATCCCGTGCGTGAAACAATGTATCCCCGTGCTATGGGCCAGACTAGTTGAACCCAGATAATTCAAAATTTTAAGGGCACTTAAAATAAAGTTTTTAACCTTTTCGACAATGTTTCATCACGTTTGATTATGCATATATACTCGAAGGTAGGGGCTCATATCGCAAGGTTACTGGCCTGTTAATAATTATATGTATAACTAATAAATTTATGAGTACCTATTAAAAAAATATTGTTATTGAATTTAAGCTGGGCTTGGGTCTCGAACCAATTGGTACTCTTAATTTATTTTAAATGATGAAAATTGTATTTGATACGTAATTATTATTTTTAATTTTATTTACATTGATAAGAAATATACTTACACATTTTTTTTTGTCCACAATTAACTCGAACTCCTTCCTTTCTCTTTAAGAATAGAATTTTAGCATTGGGCAAACTCCTTCCTTTCTTTTTAAGAATGAAAATATACCATTGAATTAGATGCTCTTTGATTTGTGTTGTGAAAGCAATCTTCAATTAGTTTTTCGTCAGTAGATGCTATCATGTGATAAATTTGCTGCACCTTTTTGTTTTTGCCCTTTATTTTATTTTTTTCAATTTGTAGCTGATGAAGCACAATGGCTTGAATCTTGTTAAGAACTTGAATTAAATTTTTATTAACTGATTCTTAAAAATTATGTTAAACTTCATCAATGTCTAGTGGCAAATTATTACAAATGTAATTGGATATAAAAAAAATAAAAAAAAAAAAGTCCCAATTTTAGTACAAGCTTTGGGTATTCCCCCAAAATTTGGGAAGGTAACTGAATGTGAGACAAAATTCCTCTCTCTACTCTGTTTCTTTTGACCTTCCAACGAACAACATAGAAGGTATCACTTATTGACGCAACTAAATGACACCACAGTAGGCCTCCTTAAAGCTTATTAATAAGCTCAATTTGAGTGTAGGAGTATTTAATATTCACAATAATGAATAAACTTTCCCAAAAAAAAATATATACTATATATATATATATATATATATTCACAATAAAATGAATGGTCAGAAATTTCAAACACAATCCTTCTCCCCCTCTCTATTTCTCATGTTATGCACTGAATAGGTTACGATATTGATAACTTTTACTCTCAGATATTATTATAGTTCAGATCAAAACAGAACATGAGAATCAGTTATAACTTAATACAATTCCTTTCCCAGCTTTATTGTACATCCAAACAAAAAGTAACAAGGCCAGACAGATGGTCCTATAATCAGCAACCACAAACTTGAGATATATAGAGGTGCATAATCTTGATTTCCATGAAATACTAATGGATTTTGCCTAAGCTCGTGATAAAATTAGCAAGTTCCTTGCCTCAGTGATGGACTTCAGCTAATTTTGATCATATTAACCAAAAATTCGAACTACGAATAGATTGGGTACCAGCAGAAGAGCAGTTGTGGCATTCAATGCAAAGGGCTTGGGATGTTAGAAATATTTCTTTTCGTAAGAAACCAGCCCATGCACTCCGCCTTCAACTTGTGCCGCCCCGGTACGAACCTGTATAAGCCGAAGAGAGAACAAGTGAGATGCAGTGACAAACTCCTAAAATGAATTGTTGCTCCTCAATTTCCACCTTACTAACTGTCAATTTGGAAGTGTTCCTGAAGGGAAGCTAGGAGTGTTTTAGGGACTAAATGAGCTAAGACAACTTTTCTGACATAACGAAAATTGTAATTTGCGCAAATGAGCATTTCACAACAGAGATTTGACTTCTTTATTTTCATTTACATTTATTTAAGAGATGTTGGAGTTGGAGACAGAAAATTGGAGGGAGACAGGACGATATGGAGAGAAGGTAATGAGATTGAATAGGATGGGAGTTTATCAAAGTTGCCGTTATACAAAATGTTGAAGACGAAGATGAAGATATGATATGCTTTGGCAGCAAAAAATTTTGGAAAGACAATTCCAGATGATCTGAACTATAAATAAGACTAGCTCTGCCAGCATAGAGCCACAAAAAATTTCATCCGCAATATGGTCATACCTCTAGCCTTAGTACCCCGGAACCTAACAGGTCATGAGCAGATTGCAAGGAGGAAGAACCAAGGTCCTGGAGCCCCTGTTTTACTGCTTGCATCGTGTAAGGTATAAACTTCAAGACAGAACCTTTATCTGCAACTGCTCCAACAACTCCCTGAGCAATCTTTAACTTGGCTTTATCACCTAAGTATCGCACGTCGCTCCCTTTTGTCATTGCTTCTAGAGAGCCCATTCCTCGGTATTTCTTGATCCGGAGACCCCCCTGTAATAATGAAACATTGGAACAAAATAGTAATTAGAAGAACCTTTTAGAGAAAGCAAACTGGTAGAATTGAAGGACAAGGAATTTGTGCAGGACCACAAAAGGCGAAGGCTTTAAGATTTTCTAGAGGAGCAAATAGAAAGCAAGAATTTTCATCCATCTATTACCTCTAATTGATGTGACTAGTCATCATTCACCAATTGGTGGCACTTCTGAAACAGTTCTTAATTTTAGTTCAAGCTAAGTGATACCGGGTTCAGAATCGACCCCTGTGATACTAAGCACAATAAACTATATATAAGCGCACGACATGATTTCAGCACTAAAATGACCCATCATAGATGTTATAGATTCTACTGTAAAGTATACTGATTTCCGTTAATACCCAGTAATACTTACAAAAGCATTATAACATCTGCAGGATTTTGTTTCAATTTGTTAAATGTAGAGAGAGATGGGAGGAAGCGGGGGATCTCATCCAGTATTAAATTACGAAGTATCCTACCTTCCCATTGACTCATGCCTTTCAACAATTCTGGACTTGCTACACAGAAACACACACACTCTCTCTCTCATCACAGTCTGTAAATTATTTTATTTTATAACTATATGTTTGCATAAATTATTTATGTAAAACATACCAAATACTACACCAACATGCACTAATGCAGTCCACATTAAAGGTCGTACTATAAGAAAATGAAACGTGAGTTCAAATAATAATAAAGATGTAATATGCTGTAATTTTTAACTGAATTTATGGGTTTAGATAAGGCAGAATGTTGAAGCATGATTCATATAACATATCCCAAATAACTGGAATAAAGATTAATTAAGTTCAGTAGAATATGGATATATATACAAACATAAGTTTTGTCAAACAAGATAGTTTGAATTGAGTGAATGCCGATTGCATCTCCAAATTCAAGATATGGTTACCAATGGCATACTTATTGCAGAAAAGCATCTCAAAAGAAAAATAAGTATAGAAGGCCAGAAGAACTAAAGACACGAGTCTAAAATAAAAAATAAAAATAAAAAATCATTACAGTAGAAGTTAAAAACAAATACAAATAAAGGATTGCATATCCATGACACTCGTATAAATAAAATCAATATTTCACAAAACTCATGCATGACGCGTCAAATGATGCAAGATGAATTCATTCCCTAGTGAGCAACAACATCTATGAGTCTAAGACAGCAATAAGAACAGAGTGTCACGGGGCATTGTGTCACCTGATATTCATAAGCTCCCGGAGCTTCATTGCTTCCAGCTAAGAAGCTTCCCATCATTACAGTTGACGCCCCAAGAACCAAAGCCTTGACAATGTGTCCAGAGTTTGAAATGCCTCCATCCGCAATGACAGGCACACCACTTTGCCCAGCAATGGATGAAACCTTGTAAACTGCAGTCGCCTAAGAAGTTTGGGAAAGAAAAAATAATTATACGGTTGAAAGAATAGCAATGGATATTGGAAGAATTCTCAGTCATACTGTCAAGAGTTTTTTATGGTGTTAATTTCACTAATATATTGTGACTCAAATACTACCACTTACATATCAAAATCAATGGTGTGCTCACTTTAAATCTGTAAAAAAAATTACTACTGAAAGGAGAATGTAAAATTTGATATACTGCTTCCTCAGCCAATTAATAATTATATCAAACATTATAACTTGAAAAATAGTGAAAGCCAGCTTTGGTAATTGTCCTGTTGAAGGGTAACCTCTCTCCAACAAAGAATACCACATTACAATCATGGACAGATGCCTGTGGAACATTGTTTCAGGCACAAAGTGACAAACTGTTGCAGTTCCTTTACATTTCCATATTCAATGAGACCAATAGCATCAATGTACTTGTCACACAAGTTAATTATGTCCACGCGCCCGGCGCCCCTACCCAAGAATAATTAAAGGTAAAAGAAGGGTAAAGTATATGTGGTCTGACACAGAGGGAAAACTGCTCTTTCCATCTAAATTTCCTGGCAGAAAGTGAAATTATCATGACAGACCATGACATCCTATACGATGCAATGCATCCATGTGACTTTTTCAAATTCAATACTGTGAAACTTCCCGTTGCATATTCAGATGGAAACATCGACATAGTTCATAGAAGGTCGTCACTCGTCAATGTATTGAAACAATTAACAACAAGCGACATGTGGTGCTAACTCAACTAGAATCCAAATAAAAGATAGCACATCAGCGTTGCCAAATGATCAATACAAAATAGCAAAAGTATATTTGACACAGAAAATCATCGAAATCATCCTTGCCTTAGTCCCATGTGAATGGGGTCGACACATAATATAATCAAATACGTTAAGTGAAGGGGATGGCACCAAATTATATCAATTAGAAATATATATGAAATATTAAGGCCTTGTTCTGGAGAAAAACAAGTACTCGGTAAAATTCTACACATTTCAAAGCATTAATGTGCCATATAACTCTCGATGGACATTTCAAGCTTGAACTTATAGTAAGTATAACATAACAGAGGCATTCTCTAAACCATTCAAGCACAGTGTTCCATGCATACACGGGATAAACTAATCCATAAAGTAGAATTGAGAATTTTTGTTACCTGTCCTCGCCCCACTGCACACACCTCCTGTGTGGTGCAAATTGACCCAGACCCCATCCCAACTCTCAACCCATCAACTCCGGCTTGTATCAAATTCCGCGCCTGGTCCATTGTCACGACATTCCCACCAATCACATCCAACTCGGGGTATGTCTTCTTCACGTACTTAATCATCTCAATCTGGTAACTCGAATTCCCTTGAGAACTATCCAACACCACCACATTTGCACCCGCCTTCACCAAATGCTCCAACCTCTCCTTATCCGTTTCCCTCGTCCCAATCGCCGCCCCCACCATGAACTTCCCATCAGCTCCAAGTGACGGCAGCCCCAACGCCGCAGGAAACCCACGGATCCTTTCCACGTCGGCGGCAGTCACCACATCCACCACCTCCCCGTCTTTTTCACTCACCAACGGCACGAATTCGAGCTTCTTAGCCGCTAAAAAGGTAGCAACTTGCTCGAAATCATAGCTCGACGGTACAGTTACAGGTGATTTTAACATATAATCACAAACCTTAGCTTCCTTACCGTTCAGGGCCTCCCAATCAGACTTCGTGACCACGCCTAACAACTTGGATTTCCTCGTACCCGACTCGGTGACGAGAATGAACGGTGACGAAGCGAAATCGTCGGCGGAATCGATTGAATCGGACGGTGACATGAAGATTGGATCGGAGACGAAGGGGATTCGATGAGATTTGGCATGTCGGACCAAGGAGGCTTGTTCGGAGGAAGTGTTGTTGGAGTGGACGATGCCGATTCCGCCGAGAGCGGCCATTGCAACAGCCATCGACGACTCGGTGACGGTGTCCATGGGAGAAGCGACGCAGGGGATAGAGAGGTTGAGGTTGCGGGTGAGTTTGGTGGCGAGTTGGACTGAGTCGGCTGGGAAGTCGATGTAGTGTGGGAGGAAGATGACGTCATCGTAGGTGTACGAATAGCGTTCCTTGAACAACCTCTCCGCCGGAAATCCGTCTTCGATTGGAAATCCAGCCATGGCGTCGCCGGAAATTGCACAGATATATATGTGTAGAGAGAGAGATTGCCGATGGGTGGTGAACTAAGTTTAGATTTTTAGGGTTTTACTCCGCCTCTCCTCGGCGTATACGGAAGTGCTAAGAAACAATTGACGAACTTTGGAGGGAAAAATCCATATCTGAGTTGTCCCATTTCCATTATGTGGGTCCCACGAGGCGATACAGGAAAGTTTATAAAGCTTCCGATAAGTACGTAGCTTTTTTCTTTTTCTTTTTCTTTTTTTCTTTTTTCTTTTTTGAAAGGTGCTAAGAAAAGTTAGACAAGAAAAAAATATCTTATGATGTGATAGCACTAATTCGACTTTAGGACTCTGTAAAGAGCGTTGGATGGGAAAGTTTTTATAAAGCTTCCGATAACAACGTAGCTTCTTTTTTATTTTTTATTTTTTCTATCAGTGTTATTTATGGAGAATAGTGATTTTTTAAAAAAACATGTGGAACCTGTATTATTTTTTTAAAAAGTTATTAATTTATTTTTTTAAAATTCTATCTCATTTGGATTTATAAATAATTTTAAATGGAAGAGGAAATGAAATTTGTTTGTGAAGGATAAAAGGATCATAATTCAATTATTATAGTTGGGAGGGTCATAGATTCATAATTAGGTGGTCATATATTGGAAACAAAAAATAACTGTTTACATATCAAGATTATAATACGAACGTCAAAGCCTCTATATTGCATATCGAGATAAAAGTACATACAATAATTAAAAAGAATAAAATTTTAAATGTGTTAAAAAGAATAAAGAATAAAATTTTAATAAAGAAAGTGTAAAATCTTAAAAAGAATAAAGGGTGGTTCTTAAAACATAAGAGTACTAACTTAAGTCACAAAGAGCAAGATCGTTAAAACAGTAAAATTATATCATAAATAGTGAAAATTTGATTGAGAGAGTGCGTGCACTCAGAATGTGAGAGCGATACTTGTTAAAAAATACTGCGTGACTTAAGTAGTAATAAATGTTCTCCTAGATTCTCCAAGCTACATAGTGATAGAAGTCTGGTGACTTTAACTGATAGAGAAAAATAAACCTAACCAGACTTTAACTGATAGAGAAAAATAAACCTATCTTGACCTAACGATAGAGGCAACCAAGTGTTGACCAGCCGCCAGATCTTTTCGGTGATCAACGATCATATTTTGTTATTAGGGGTAACGATTTCCATAGATAAGAATGATGACAAATCTTATGCAGGATAAGATTTCCACGGGGATGATAACAAACCTTATCAAGGATAAGATTTCCATGGGATAAGTTCCATGGGATGAGGATGATGAAATTCCCTTATCGAGAATAAGGGAAGCGACGATAAATAGGACGACGATTCGGGAATAAGATACGACAAAAAAAAACTATTATTAAATTTCTGCCTTCTTTTTAGACCTCCGGTGACTAACTTGACCATCGGAGAGCTCTTGGCAGGCACCACACCGGTGCCGTCAAGGTTCATTGATCTTCTCCTCTCTTCCTTGCAGGAAAACGGTGTCGTATCAGACTGCGTGAATTTTACCCTCAACAGTTGGCGCCGTCTGTGGGAACGACGATTCCCTTGAATCAATTAATTACTCTGTTGGGTATATACGTTTGCAGTCTGGTATGGTTACTGAAGGAACACCGTCGCAAGGATCTGGTCAAAGGGTAGAGTCAAGTGAAAACCTGGACGTCCCAAACGACCAAACATGGCTTGCAGCGTTGGAACTGCAAGTCTAAACTCTGAGTCAGGGTATGGACCAGTTGATCCAGCAAAATGCAGCGCTCCTACAACATCTTGTTCCACCAATTAAACAAAACTTGCCACGACAAAATCTCTCAAATCCAAACGGAGGTAATGGGAATCTTGAAGAGTAGGATAATCACCCCCCCCCCCCCCAAAATGAGACTGAAGTGGAACAAAGCCAGGTGGGAACCTGACATAGAGCGGTGGTCCATCTCTCCCACGGAGTTCTCGACCTCCTGAAAGCACAGCCTTTTGTCTTAAGGAAAAGATAAAGAAAGTTACCTATCTCGACCTGCAGATCGAGGATCTTAAGGGGAAAATGGAATATGTAATGCAGGCTCTGAAAGGGAAAGGTCCTACCGCAGTAGATGACCTGGTACAAAGGGCTAACTTGTCGTTCAGCCCCGCCGTTATGAAATGTTCACTACCTAGCAAGTTCAGGATGCTCTCGTTCAAAAGCTTCGATGGGACCAAAGATCCCCTCGATCACCTGGAAACTTTTCAAGCTCTTATGCATTTACACGCTGTGCCAAACGAAATAATGTGCCGAGCTTTTCCCACTACACTTAAGGGATCAGCAAGAGTTTGGTTCAACAAACTGAAGCCAGGAACCATCAACACCTTCGAAGAACTGAGTAAGCAGTTTGTGAGCCACTTCATTACAGGTCAGAGGCATAGGAGCCTGGCTACCTACCTGTTTATCTTAAAGCAACAAAAGGAAGAGTCGATTCAGGAATACATCACCCGATTCAAAGCAGAGACGTTGCAAGTAGAAGAGGTGGACGATAAGGTAGCTTTGACCGCTTTCATAGGAGGACTCCAAGCCTCCAGATTCTTGTTCTCCTTATCAAAAGAACCTCCCACCAGCATGATAAAGTTGCTGATTAGAGTGCAAAAACACATCAACGCTGAAGACACCATGAGCGCACTGAAGGAAGGAGAGGACAAGAAGAGGCCAGCCCCTCTCGCCAGGGATGAAAATAATACCAAATATAAGAGATCATTCTTCAGCCAGAGCGATAACACATATCATGAGAAGGACTCAGATGAGTATACCGACTAGAAATTGTCTCACGGCTGGAATTAGCCTTATCAAGTCATTCACAATAAAGACTGGGGGTATCTTAGTTAATCATTTTAAATGGAGGGTAGCTCCCTCACGTGTTATCTTGTTTTAATAAGACTTGAGGCAATGATGATCTTTAATAAAATTCTTTTCAGTTGGCTTGACTTTTGGTCAATTATCTTTATATGTGCAATATCCCTGTACTATAAGGGATAGTAAATGAGTGTCCTGTATTACAAGGACCCGGGCTAAGCGAATCCCGTAATCCGTATCCCCATATTATAAGGGATAGTAAATGAGTGTCCTGTATTATAAGGACCCGGGCTGAGTGAATCCCGTAATCCGTATCCCCGTACTATAAGGGATAGTAAATGAGTGTCCTGTATACAAGAACCCGGGCTGAATGAATCCCGTAATCCATATTCCCGTAATATAAGGGATAATAAATGAGTGTCTTGTACTACAAGGACCCGGGCTGAATGAATCCCGTAATTAATATCCCCTTACGATAAGGAATAGTAAATAAAAATCCTTTATTAAAGGAGTGAGCTGAGTAAAGCTCGTAAAGTTCAATTCCCTTATTAAATGAGTGACGACCTGAGTAAAACTAGTACCCAGGGCAGAGTACTCAAAGGTACTAAAAATAGTATCAAGGGGCAGAGCACCCCAGGGGAAGATTATCCAAGGGTACTAAAAATAGTACCCAGGGACAGAGTACCCAAGGGTACCAAAACTAGTACCTAGGGGCAGAGTACCCAAAGGTACTAAAAATAGTACCCAGGGGCAAAGCACCCTAAGGGAAGATTACCCAAGGGTACTAAAAATAGTACTCAAGGGAAGCGTACCTAGAGAAGAAGAAGAAGAAGAAAAAAAAAAAAAAAAAAAAAAGGATGTTATTGTTCATATGAACAATACCTGCGGGAATAGTACCCGCAGGTACTGTTCCCAGGGCAATGAAAAAAAAAAAAATAAAATAAAATCAATAAAAATCAATATGTTACTGTTCATATGAACAGTACCTGCGAGTACTGTTCCTAGGGCAAAAAAAAAAAAATTCTACTGTTCAATAAACAGTCCCGCGGGCACTCTGCCCGAGGGAACAGTGCCGGGGGCAACAAAAAAAAAAAAAAATCTTACATTCCCAAAGCTAGACGAGCAAGCTTGGGAATGAGGGCCAACTGATAGGGAAAAATAAATCTATCTTGACCTAACAATAGAGGCAACCAAGTGTTGACCAACCGCCAGATCTTTTCGGTGATCAACGATCATATTTTGTTATTAGGGGTAACGATTTCCATGGATAAGAATGATGACAAATCTTATGCAGGATAATATTTCCATGGGGATGATAACAAATCTTATCAAAGATAAGATTTCCATAGGATAAGTTCCATGGGATGAGGATGATGAAATTCCCTTATCGAGAATAAGGGAAGTGACGATAAATAGGACGACGATTTGGGAATAAGTTATAACTTGACCGTCGGAGAGTTCTTGGTAGGCACCACACCAATGCCGTCAAGATTTATCGATCTTCTCCTCTCTTCTTTGCAGGAAAATGGTGTCGTATCGGACCGTGTGAATTTTACCCTCAACATTAACAATGAGAAAATTCATGGGATATGACAAGCATTGGTACACCTCCAAACTCACACTTGCCTCATACCATCTACCAAATTCTTTTTATATTTCTATTTTTCTTTTTCTTTTTCCTTTTCCTTTTTTCCTTTCGGTGAGCACATCTAATTCCATTAAACAAAATTTGCAAAATTTCAACACGAATATATGCGCTAAAAACCATTTGAGATACTTCTTGTTGAAAACTGTCTCAAGGGCAGCTTTGCTCCACACAAATTATAATAAATGAATGGCTTAACTCCCACAACTCCTACTAATATGGTATTATTTATGAGGTTTAATTCACACACCTCTTGATTTTACATAACTTTCACCATCAAGACCATTTATTACCTCACTAGCATGAAATGTACACATACATCGTGTATATCAAATACTTTAAAATACTAATTAATAGTAAAATTTTAAAATCAAATTTATTTCCAACTCACGATCTATTATCAAAACACTAGATAGATAACCACTGAAAGTTTCTAGTTTTAAGCACTTGGTACTTGGTAGGGGTGTTACCAAAAAGCCCTTTATGTTGACAAATATAATCAGTAAGACAGTTCACAAGAAAAGCCCAAGAAAAAGGAGGGACCACACCTCAAGATCAGATAAAGAGATCGAAAGATTAGAAACCATTTTATTTCGAAACAAAGAAGCAAAAACATCAGCTTGAAGAAAATTAACTACTATATTTTCATTAATAAATTAATTATTTCAAA